CATCATCCTTTAAACCTCTTGTGAGTCTTGGTTTATGCTAGTGACAGAGCTATACTCAAACAGATTGCTCTGAATAAGGGACGACGTCAAAAGATTGATGTCTGATAAAAAACTTATTTCCTTTAGTTTGGGGGTGGGGGGTTTTGACCTCAAAAAGTTTCCATCCTACAAAAACAATTTTATTTTTTAATGAAGTCAAAAAAATCTTGGTATATTTGTAGTTAGTTTTTTTTTTTCTTCTATCCAATCATGGACAGAAATAACTGAAAAAGGAAAAAAAACAGAAAAAATGGTTTGGTTCGAGTGTAAATCTGTGCGTCAAATGAGGTGCATTTGTAAAGTCTTTTTACACCCACCCGACAACCAACTGCTATGCAACACTACTGTCGATTATCAATTTGTATTTAATGGTGAATGTAGTCTGACACCATGACCAATATTTATCAATTAAGTTTCAGTGGGGGGTTTGGAAAAAACTAAAGGAATTAAGTTTTTTTATCCGACATCGATCTTTTGACGTCGTCCCTAAGATGTGTCCAGGCATAAACAAGATTTGGCCACACTTTAGAGAGGATATGCATTTTATTTTAACCACCTTGGATTCCATGCACAAAAATAGCCCTTAACAATTCAAGACAAGTGTTATCAAAAACAAGTATTGACAAAACTGCAATTACCATTGAATAATAGTATAATTAGTACTGCTGTAATTAAAAGCATTTAGTACTGCAAATACAAATACCAAACCATCTTGTTTTTGTTAAGATTGGTTGAAAGTTTCAAAATGATATTCTGAATAATATTGCATTTGATCCATTCACCTTTTGAGCACCTGATTTGTTTTCCCTGGTTTGGGTAAAATTCAATTAGTTTCTGTATTTTTCACTTCTTTTAATCTCATTTTTTGTTCAAAAAGCTTCAATAAAATTTTCGTACTATTTTATGTGGAAAAAGAGCAAACTTTGGTGTTCAAAGGTTGAAAGTCTATATATATACTATACCATAGACTAAAAAAGTATGTGAGAAGTTAATGACTGTAGGCATTATGTATGCTTCAAATAAAGCAAGTTGTTGTAGAATTGACCTGGGAGCTAACCAGATTTATCAAGCACTTGCAGCATAAAAGGCTTCATTTTAAAATATATATCAAAGCATAATAGACTTAAAATTTACAAATTGAATTGCTTAAGAAAATGAAACCCTCCATGCAGATCCTGATATATATCCAGTGAAACGGCTGAAAAATACAGACCTTTCATTGATAGATTTTACACAGCCCTCGTCTGTAGCCAGCAACAATTCACAAATTATGGCCACTAGAGGGCAGGCATGCTTGAAAGGATGGCCACATGCACGTAAATAGCAGGCATGTATATAATAACAAGTTGGATTTCTATAATCCAGTATACAACAAATGTTAATTATTGGTTTATGCGAGCTTCTATTAGATCAATTTATTGATTGTAATAATGTAATTTTTAATTTCAGGAAGTACTTCGGGTAACATCTTGCCAAGGCAAGCAAAATACAATCAACCAAGTTTATGTTCAAAGTTTATTCCTAAGTTAGTAATCGCCTTAATATGCGAGCACAGAGCAAACTGAAGTACTTACGTTCAGTGACTGAAACTTTAATAGGATTACTTTCTCTCTCATACTCTTCTACTAAACCTATTTGCTTTGACTTGCATCGGACTTCAATTTGTAGGTTTTCTTCTACTTTTCCATCACTGTTATCAGCAGCTGTAAATGTAACTGTGATCGTACTGTTGCTTTTAAATTTACCATCTGACTCTCCTGAAAACTTCTTCACCTCAACATTGTAATTCACGCCTTCTGGGACATCCTCAACATCACCAGATACAAAGTCTTTGTCCAGTTCACCTTCTATTGAAGTAGCAACTGATGATATTTTGTAGGCCCATGTTAGGGTCGCACTTGGGACAACACCATCAACTTCGCATGTCCTGCTGATTGTTATGCTTTCACCTGGTGCAGGCATTTCTTTACTTATCTCCATCTCGCCATCAATCGATACTTCTGAGGGTAGGACTACAAAGAACAATATATTATTTGTTAACATGCATTTTTATTAGAGCTGCTCTTTCAAAATCTTGCATATGGTAAAAAGTCGGCTCAATTTCTAAATTTTTTCGAAATATAGATTTCCCTTCAAGGTGATCAATTCAATCACATTATTTCACCCAGAAAGCTAAAAGTTACTTGAAACCACTCCCAGACCTTTCCTCGGTGCACTCCAGAGACCTATGCAAATAAAAGATTGTTTTACTTACCCCACACACCCAAGTTCGCTGATTTGGATTGTGGATTTAGATTCAACACCACACACCTGTATTCACCTTCATCCGCCAGTTTTACATCAGTTAATACTAAATTATACGAGTCTGTGATCTATAAAATAAACAGTAACATTCATTACAGCAGCAACAAATTGACAGATTT